TCAACGGACTTCTGCCTACGGTTCCGCTCCAGCCCTATTTCCACGAGTTTGCTGAACGTGACGAACATATTCCTGGAACGTTCACTGCACCTACTGGTGTGGACAGGCTGCCAGTTTTGTGCACGTTGGCTGAAATTCGTGGCGATTGGAAATTCATCAGGGAACTGTTCAACATGCAGGTAGGTTGGAATTCAACCTTCCTGTGTCATCACTGCTTCGCCCGGAAAGATGACTACCTGGAGTTTCCCCCAAAGTTGGATCGACTGCCCCGGAGAGACTTTGACTCCTTCCTATCAACGACAAGGGTCATCAATGAACCGAGTGACCACCTGCATGCGTGCGATGTACATTCATGTATACGTATACATTGCACAAGTATGCGCAAGTGGCCTAAGGTGAAGTGTGCTCAGTGATTGGGTTCCATCACGATATGATTCGATGGTGCACTCTTCACACTCTTCACCTTGGAGTTGTGAACTGGGTAGTGGGCAGCGGGTTTCACATGTTGCTTGCCCAGGATTCGGTGTTCAAAAACACTGGATTTGAGCTAGACACTTTCCAAGCACACCTTTATAAACATCTAGATTTGAACTGGACGCAGGAAGATTTGTGGAGTGACGATGGTGCGGGGATTGAGAAGCGCCTCTTCCAAGCCTACCAACACTTCAATTCATGGACGAAGGCTCACCGCATTCAGCCACTTAGCACTACCTAGTACGTTCAAAGATTGAGCGCACCTAATCGTTCATTTGGTTGACCAATAAGGCATTCCCAACCTTGCTTCAACACCAAGTTCATCAGACCGGTGGACAACAACGCCCACATGGTGGCTGCCAAGGGATGGAACGTGCTTTCGCTGACTGTCATGATATCTGAATTTCTGATACTAGTCCCTAGCCTGTAAAGAAAATCCAAACCATTATGTCCTTGAGGCACGGGTGATTCTGGCTTGGATGTCTGAATTTGTGGTTTCCTATGTGAATGCCTCAGACCAGCGTGGAAGGGAATGGGCATTGCTGCAAGGTTTGGTGCACCTCAACTGCAAAATATCGATTGGCATCTGTTTTTGTCTAGTACAATTCAGGTCTAGGCCTAGGGAACTAGATGAGGCACCACCTGAACTTGGGCATGAAGACCATCGAGTCCTCTCCGCGATACTTGCAGCCAGAGCACGTGGCTGCGATCAAGTTCCACACAGCACCTTGGATCGAATCGCGATATCGATATATATCGATGGAATTTTGTTATAAGGATCGATATCGATGAGAGCCGGTTTATTTGAATAGATCGGTTGTGTGCATAGCCCGCAAGTTAGACTTAATTAGGCTTCGGCCAGCGTATGCTATGCAGTGTTGGCCACTTGGGCATGCGCCAATTCCTTGAGTCTGTTTCCTTTGCGACCAAAACTTCATGTGCCTCGACTGCAATTAGTCTTGGCCATCTTCTTAAGCGCATGGCATGTTTCTGAAATTGGATGAGAGCAGAATTGGAACACCTTGACCTTGAGGCCTGGATGGAACTGGCCCACTTTGCATCTGTGGAGTGTTTCTAGCTTAAAATCGTGGGTGCAGTTGGTTCAGTTTCATGATATTTGCATGTCTCTCAATGCACAATTAGGCTACAACCCACGCTTCTATCATACATTCCGTGATGAAGACTTGAATGGAAAGCTGATCCGTTCTCTGGATGCATTTTTTTCATGCAAATCATTCAACGCAAACCAACTAGTGTTGCCCTGTGATTCAACCTGATGAGGAATAGCGAGGGCATCTCATGCCAGAACGATGGAGCGAACTCTGCTGATCAAATTCTACATGTGGGTCCATAGCAATGCCAGGACCCCGATCTGCCGAGCAGTTCGCTTGTTGTGTAAATGAGCTTTTGACAGGGGTCCTGCTTGGATCCATGGTGAACCATGTCAGGACTGGAGACGATGATGCTGACATCATCGGTACGTCATGAGCGATTTCTACTAATTCGCATAGCTTGGTTGTTTCCAACCTCGTCCCACCAGCGGCCAACTTGCAACCAGGGCACCCAGCGATGTGGATGGCAAAGTCGGGCTGCTGCTTGTGGGCTTGTATGTGTGGGGGACAGGAGGGGGGAAGGGCGTGATTTGGCGTGATTCGTTGACCCTAAATCTCAAACGCGTCTACAGATGGTCTTTAAGATTAAACGCTTCTGTGGATGATCCTGGAACCCAAACGCATAAATAGGATGTGTTTTGGATCCTTAGGGTTATAGCCTTCTAGGGTCATTGCATGTCATTACTACAAAAGTCCAAACTGGATTAGGCATGACAGGACAATGCTGCAGCATGCTTCCAAACCTTAATACATGAGTTAAATTGCTCAGTAGTAGCTATACAGCTTTTGTGACCCATGAAACCAATGACTTTCATCACCTGGAACTCGCAGAACGTCCCCGGTCCCATGGTGTCACTCCTCCCCTCCCGTGCAGACGAGTCAACCCCCCCCCCCGGCGGTGAGGAAAGCGGACTCTCGCCTTGAGGGGTCCAGAGACTTAAAGTTCACACAGGATTTCGACGCCGAGATCGACCTCAAACGCCCAGAGCGTCGAAAGAGAGAAAGAGAGAAAAAGAAGAGAGAAAGAAACGAGAGAGCTTGAGACGTTCCAGCAAGATACCTTAAAGAACCCGCCCCCTGAAAGATGGATTCATAGTTGAAATTTCGATTAATGGGATCTACAGACTATGCAATTATATGATTCATACGTATGGATGTTTTACATGTTTCTCAAAGCAGCAGTATTTGCGAACACGGAGGGTGGGAAACACTACTGGAACGCACCGATCACTTCATGGACAATGATACAGGCTTTCATAGGGGCTACATGTCCCTGGTTCGTAGCTTGGTATCTATACATGTCTTCCAGAATCAGGCATTGCTTGTTCCTTCGTCCATCTTACCAAATTTCACCCACAAATCACCGTCCACCAAAAAAGAATGCTGCAAACATCTTCCCCCGCAAACGAAGGGCCAAACGTCGACGATCGATCGTCGATCGGTGCGTCCGGTATACGCGTCCTGTCCGAGACAGTGTAGCCACAGAAATCGAAGGGAAAACACAGGATAAAACAGGTATAGAATAGACAACGATTTAGACCATGTGTGTGTGTGTGTGTCCCTTGTTTTTTGCTAGCAAAACAACGGCTTTAAACGATTTGACAAGAAAAGACACCATCTGAAGAGGTCTTGCAATCCAAATTGCCTCTTCCGTTTGCTCTCTTGCTTCGAACACTGGTTTTTCCACTTTCACCGGATGTCTCACCCCACTCTACCCGTACCCGCCCCAATACGTGGCAAGGGATGGCGTAGAAGCGTTCAGGACTGACCAGTGCGTTCATCCAAATGGAGGGGTTGATTCATCGGTCGGGCCAATGGTCGATGGGCGTCAGAACTGGGCGCCACCGATGGCTTCGATGGAAGGTTCTTGGAAGCAATGGAAGCTCTTGGAAGACGAAGACGTGTTGATTCCCATGTGGCTCTTCTAGTGTCTTTATGTCGTTTTGGGGAAGAGCCACATGTGGGTAAGTGGGTAAGTATCATACAGACTTGTCTTTGAATGATTCCCCAGTGGGCACCACCAGCACTGCTCCAAGCAGCTTCGGGGGCTTTGCCCCAGAAGTGACTTCAGCCCAAAGCCTGGTTGTTGCCACGTGCGGACAGGGGAGCTAGTCGGAATACCAGTTTGGGGAATCAATGATTTCAGAGATGCTTCCATGTTCCTGGATCAATTAGGAGCGTTTCAACGCGAAAACCAAGTAAACGAGAGAACTCCAACACGTGGAGTTCTCATTTACAACCCACCGTACCCAAGGATTTGTAGATTCGCCCACATTCTCAAAGGCTGCTAGCAAGGAATCCCAGATCCAATTTCAAGAGGTTTGCACTTAGCACCTTCAAATCTGAAACCTTGGAAGAAGCGGCCCCCCACCGGTCGACACGGACCAGGGAAGAGCTGGGGCCCAATGGTTCCTACGTGTTAAGATCCACTCTCCACAAGTGATTGAACCCTAGGCCTCCAACTACCTCCTTTTCGAAGATGGTTATGGTAGGTTTGGCGGGTCTAACCACCTTCTGACGGTGAACATCCCAAGAACTGCCAGAATGACCTCTTTAGGGACTATCAGTGACCTCATTCTGGGATCTCATCCTGGGTCACTTTGAAGATCACTTGGTCAACATCTTTCATTTGAAAATCCTCCAAGAACTGCCAAACTGACCTGGAAATGCAGTGCAACCACTTGTTTGGCACGTTTGGGGAAAATGATCCTCCTTTCGCGGCCATGCCATGCACGTAACCAATCATAACCATGATTCCGAGTGCCAAAATAATGCCTCCCTCAGAAGTGCAAGTTTCCTCAGAAAATGGCCTACCTGATCCGCACGCACCCGCCCCTAGACCCACACTTCGCTGCGCGCTGCTCGCAGCGCTCCTGTCGTCGAGGTCGGGGCCCAGGAGATCCTGCGAATTTGAGGAGCAAGACTAAGCAAGACTATAGCTTCCTCATAGCTTCCTCCAGAGACCATTGGGTGATCAAGAGTTGCTCTCTTTTGGGGGAGCAGGGCCAAGTCATGATAGAAGAAAAGAAAACAAATCCTGGCCAGTCATGGAGTTGAAATGACCTGAACAACGAGACGATTCGCTGAGTAACCTCCCACCTGGGGCCATGGCGATCTCATCGCGCCGACCGGACTGAGCTCCTTTTCGAGCTGCGGACAAAAATGGGTTGAAGACGGTTCCTGTCGGTGCTTTTTGTAGAAGACTCATAGGATTTCTCAAGGCTGGCGGTCTCAGACCACGAACAGCTGCAAAGTCATAGGATTTCTCATGTTTTCTCCATCAGTTCACTTTACGTCAAGTCTTTCTCCGCCAAGCAGTTCAGGTCAATCGGTCAACCGGTCAACCAATTCAAGAAAAGGAAAAAGCTTGGTCACTGGCCGGGGAAAGGCCCATCTGATTCAGTACAACCTGATCCCTTGCCTTGTATGATCACACAAGTAAGATCGAATAAGAGTGACTATTGACCTGTAAACACATGTTTGGCATTGTGAGACAGATTGCTCCATCAAACCGGTGATGCCACATTCATCCACACCCTGCAACAAACACATCCACAGTCCACTTCCGTGCGTAGTGAAGTCCTCAGAAGTCCGGATTCCTCAGGTGGGAGGTGTGGTGACCGTTTGGTTTCCTTTCTGTCAAGGGCTTCTGTACCTTTTTCTTCGCTCCTGTACGATCGCTCCAAACCGACTCACAGCTCTGCACGCCACTGGCGCCGGGCCACATGGACGCGCGCCAGGTCGGCCATATAGTCGTTGCCTTCGCGGCGGGAAAGACGGGTGCCGGAGGACCTGTCGAGTTAAAAAGAGACCGCTCGGATCGAGTCTGCCATGCTAGCAGGAGAGTTGCTTCTTTTGGGGGGGAGCGAGACAACTGCACTGCCAGGAGTGCCCGTTATGGAACAAGGCGTCTTTTTGACTTTGTGATTCCAGTTTCTTGGCATGTTTCTCTTCTCCAGTTCGTCTACGGTACATGGGTTCGACATAGATGTGCTTTCTTTAATCCCCCTATGCAGCCTATATAGTGTCATGCAAAGTTATGTTTAAAAAACATAAAACAAAAAACATCTATATATATCGCTTCACCACAATCAATGTCTTTCCATGGTAATTCCTTGGCCCGTACCGGTCCTATCATTCCATGCGAAGCCAGACCAAGCCACTGGACTGACCGTACTTCGACTCGACCGACCGTAGGAGCCACAACTTGGCACTCTCCGTGTCAGCCTTCGCCTGCGGAACCGGTGAGGCCCCCCGCTGTTGTCCCGGTTCCGACGCCGAGAACGGAAGGTGAAGACCGTGCTGAAGAACAGCACCCAGTGGCCGGTCTTGATTGCACCAGTTGGTCAAAGAAGGTGATTTTTTGTTTCCAGATTATTTTGTGAGTTTGATGCAATTGGACGGAGTGATAATGAGTTCTTGATATCTTGATATATTGAATAATTCATATACCCTCGTCTTAATATCATAGGAACCGACCTGGAAACAAACAGAGTGAGAATCACCTTTGGTTCCTGGAGTCTGCATGACAAGCCTTGCACAACGTCAGGTCAAAGACCCTTGGACCCACCGATTTCCAAGGCTCCACTGCACCAACAGCCCTCTGAAGCTGAATGAACGGCCATTGCCAGCATGTGTGCTGAATGGCGCCTCGTAGTAAAGCCCTAAATAGAGGGAAGCGTAGAAAGCATCGGAGCCGCCCTTCTGGTATAATTCCTCCAGCCGGGCCTAGGCCCGTGAGACCGACACAGGGGAGCACTGCTGGTGGGGATCCGGGTGGCACTTTCATCTAGCACCTTCAGTTCGTGACCTCTTTGGAGTCTCTCTGTTGGACTTTGACAAGCCTAAATGACATAATACTTGGATTTCAAAAGGCCGCTTTGATGGTCCTGGTATGGGAACAATATATCTATGTGGAGCGTTGTACTGAGGTTGCAAAGCGACACGAACTTACCAAAGTGTTCTTGGCAGGTACCATCATGGTGCTACTCCAACATCTCAACTGCAACGTTACAAAGTCGCACGGATGTTTGTTGATACAAGGACTGTTGCTAGGCCGTGCATGTAAAACGAGGACCATGCACACAGAAACTGTCTACCCTTGCAACACTGGGAAAGGATGATTGACAAACAATTAAGTCGTGCACAAGAATCACAAGAAACCACATGTGCTGCACATGTGTCAAAACTTATTGGCATAGGTAAATGATGGTACATCCTCTTCAAACCTGAGGCTTCGAAGCTCCTCTTCAAAGTGAAAGGGGATGTATGTACTTTACTGTCCTCATTAGGATCCTGTCCTCGAAGACAGAAGTCTTCAATCACCAAAGCTGATTGACCGGACGCAGGGCCATGATCCCTCTCCACCCATCATACAGCTCAGGGTCGACGTATTTTGCATCATCATCACCCTTGTACAGGGCGTACCTAAGCTCAACTGTGGGAACCCCATATAGGTTCCCTGAGGTTATGGGTTTCCATGGAGACCAAAGTGAAATGACAGTGGCCATGCTTGCGAAGATCATGTATTGGAGCTGCCGCTGTGCTCTTATCCAAATATATTGAACAGAGATTTGGGGAGGTCCGGGAGCGCTCTTTACACTCGCTATTGGTGAGGTGCCTGAACATCGGCACTTGCTTCGTGCGGGAACAATCGGAGGTTCTTCTGTGGTCCTGTTGTCTTACCAGCGCTACCGAGTGCTACCGAGTATGCTGGGATTCGGCGGTCTCTGACTCATCATGAAGAGCTATGGCTTTTGCAATCTTTTGCAAGGCTCTCGTACTGGGCTTTACTAAATCCATCCATATAAGTCTCACGATATCAAGCCATCTATAACATCTGCAAATAGTTAGTGCACCAATCATATTCCTTAATGTTTCTTGTCCCATCATATATAAGCTAATATACCATTGTTGGTCACAAGCATACTAGTGAAGCAATATTTATAGTTAGTGGACGATTTTTTTTCCTACCGAATATGTACTCAGCGCTGCATGGCGGAGGTCGGAGGTCAGGTCGGAGCTCAAACACGACACAACCGTGCCGAGGTACACGGAGCCCATGACGGGACGAGGATCAAAGCCCACGGTCATCATTTGCTTTCCTTGGGCACGCGCCAGAAGGCATGCAAAACCACTCCACCATTAGAAAAATGCATTCACAGAGGTAACATGAGCTAACAAAGAGTTACTCACCCTTGGAATTCACTGATGGATGCGGTTGCGGTAACATGCGTTCACATGCCTTAACACAGCCAAGACCCAAAAAGGAGGAGGGTTGGTCGTTAGGCGCAACTGAAAGAATTATGGGTTGGCAAATGACAGAAAACACTGGCAAATGTTTTGAATGAATCAATAGACGTGCGGACGGACAGATTGATGGACTGCATTCATTCATGTCTTAGAACTCGCAGACACAATGACATCTGGATCGTTGAAGGATTGCTCATATACAGTTTAATTCCTAACTCTAGACAGGCATGCGGCATGTGCCAACATTGTGTGAACATCTTACGTTTGCAGTCTACACCTGGGACAAGTTAGCACAACTCCAACATATAGTCTGCAGGGAAAATATGTCCAATACATTCAAGATGAGTACTGTATAGTACTGAAATTACCTTTCTGATCCTTTCTGCTTATTAAGCAACATGGAGGGCCACAAACGGTTGGCTTCAATGTGCTCCAGAGCCTGTGAACGAAACACCATCTTGAGGTGTCCACTCCTCTTTCCACTGCGCTGTGCTCCTCCGCGACGCGGAGCGCGCTCTCGAGCGCTCCTCCACAGCGTTGCGTCCTAGAGTCTGGCTTGCTCAAAGCCCACCATCCGCGCTTCACAAAGAAAAGCCCAAAGGGATTCCTCCGTATCCTCGGTTCGTTCTTTTTCGGCCTGATGAATCCGCACCCTCTTGAGGGTGTGGATGGAGACACGTGACGTATGCTTTTCTCCCTTTTTTTTGGATGGGTGTCTTATTAGAATGATCAGGGAAAAGTATGGGAAACCCCCCGAAACATCAATGCAGCACACCGAAGTCCATTGGTTGAGAGGCGCACAACCGGGTCCAGTGCAGTCACCATGTGGTCGTGCCTTCGCTTCGGTGTGTGGGCCATGTGTTCCGCCCAACCCGGGCCATATGAACCGTGTCTGTGAGCGTGTCCAGTCATACATGGGTTGGATGCCACTGAAGCATTGGCCGAGGAAAACTGAAAAACAATTCACTGAACTTAAAGAGAATGTGTTCATAGATGTTCATAGAGTGGTCGTGTCTTTGGATGTGACCCCACATGTTTGTGCTTAAAGTAAAAAAAACACAAACACAAAAAACACGCACACATGCGGGTATCGCAACATGGTAAGTTGAACGACTCGAATGGAAAGCCTTCAAAGATTCAATGTCCTCGGTTGAGTCCCTGGAGTCTCAAAGTTCTCAACAATTGGGTACAAGTACCTGTTGTTATAGTAGGGTCACCTCCTATGTTCATCTATTTTCTACATGAGTACTTTGGAGGGTCCATATCGCAGTACCTGCAAAATCCTGATGTTGAAGAACATGCTTTGAGAGGTCACAATATGTGTTCTGCTTGCCTCCCAGTGTCGTTCGGATTCACCTCCACATCTTTACCTGAAAGCGCCAGCGCTGCGTGCGGAGTGCGTTTACGTATGCTTTACCTGCTATGGTCATGCAAATGGTCCAATGGTCGCAGGATGTGGACCTACGGCTGGCTCCCTCCTTCGTCTCAGATTCGATCAGGTGTCCAAACTCCGTCACGTCATGTCCTTCCAGATGAGATGAACGGGTGATGTTGAGAACGGGTGCTGTCGATCGCGGATCCTTGGGATCCTTGCCAAAGGATGGCTTCCAATGACGTTTGGATGTCATCGAAGGGTAAAGTTTGGTATCGATCATCTATACCTATATTGGATTCGATCGTGGTTGTTGAAGGTTATTCGATAGATACATCGTACTTGGGGGGCATCCTCTCTAGTCTCTAGTCAGCTACCAACCCATCTCATGATACATCCGCCAGCCAAACACCGCCCAAGCTGCGAAACTGCTGGGTGCCCTCCTCGAAGCGCTCAGCGTAGTAGAGCGACAAGCCACGCTGCCAGAGCCGCGCCTGGACGTTGGCAGGAGAGTTCCATTGACGTTGGGCAGCTGGGCGGACCTTGACAGGAAGAAGGGGAAAGATGAGGGAAGCAAACTCCAATAAGTAGGACAGGAAGGAGTTGACAGGTTAATACTCCTTGCAGTTGAGTTCAGTTGAGCTGCCCAAAACTAGAACTGTTGAGTCTTGTTGAACTAAAGGATCTCATTGCCTGATAGTGTGCACACATGGCACCTTCGGGTAGCCGGACTCTGCCGCTTCATCGAAAAACTTGATGGAGTCTTCCACCTTGTAATTTCCTTGGCTTGACATGAGCAAATCACTTGCGTCCAGTTGTCTGGTCATTCACGAACGCCCAAATCGTCTGAGAGCGGCGCATCAGGAAAGCTGGGGATTCTACCACGAGGAACAACTTCGTGAACTTGCACTTGAACAAATCTAAATATTTGGGGCTAAGAGGATTGCATCTCAAGGAAAAGTGAAGCCACCATAAGCCACCATATCCCTCCCTCCAACAATCATGGAAGGTGGCCCAGACCCCTGGTAGAGCAAAATAGTTCTGTCTATTTCCAGAACCGGGTCAATCACAGGCCAGTAACCCGGGTCAATCACACCGTCGAAGAGAGTCAGTACGTTCACGAATTCCTTCGGAATCAAGAACACATAAAACATGATTTCCTCCGCAACTCAAGGTTCCCTCAACCTGACCAAGTCAAGCTTTATTGACCTTGCATCTTGGATACCAACATCCGTGAAAGCCGCTGTGTGTCCACTAGCACTTCGCCCAGCGATTGCAAAATAGTGTGCGTGGGAACCCGACTTGCGACAAGAATTTGCCATTTTGTACATTTTTGCACCGGCCTGATCCTGCTCTTGAAGGTGCTAACAACGACCCTTGTATATCCTGGTCGGAACTAGCCATTTGCTTCACGATTACGGCATACATTACATCTATCAGATATAGGCCGACTCTAGCAATGAGGAACACGGTGCGATACCTTATGACTCGCCCAAAGCCGTAATTATTGCACCATATGACGACATACAAATCTATTCTCAGACTTGCTTATACATTTCACCAAATAGTCCAATTCTTGAGTAACATGACCAAGCACTTTTTTCCATCATGTCAAGACCTGAGCCATGAGGTTGCTCCATTTGGAATCTCTCCACATCAGACTTTCCCTCATACCGCGCAGGTAGTAACAAAGGGCATCAGTACTAGGCGCAAGGACGCTACGAACGGGGTGCTCTTGGCCTTACTACTATAGTAACAAGAAGCTACTAGGGGCGCTCCTGGCATTGATAGTACAAGTAGGAGCAAGGACAATATTATATTTACTTGAACACCACTTACCTCAACAAAGGATAACAAAGGGTGCACTTACTTGCCAAGAGAACGAGCTTGTGAATAGCACTCAGAACCACCTCGTTTCACCCAGAACCACCTTGTTTCACCCATAACAGTTGACCGGGTCCCACCACGTTTCTCTTGGCCAAATGGGACTAAAGGTGCCTGGCCAAAAAAACCGTGTATGCAAATACATCTCTGTGTAGGCACCAATTTTGAGATTCTGCTTGGTGAATGTAATTGGCAATCCTCCTGGAATGGCCCCTTTTGTTCTTGGATAGAGTTTTAATCTTACCTCAATCTGTTTCACAGTTGGCTTGCTTTGTGGTCTTAGACCGTTGGTAAACTTGCTTTCTCTTTCATACTCTGATGACTTCTCATCGGTTCACCCGACGTCTCCTCCATGGGATCTTTTCGGGGCAGGGAACTCCTTCGCTCCCCCCGCGTCCGTCCGGGTGATGGCGGGCTCTTCCAGGCACCAATGTTCCACTTCACCATGGTTGTTTCAGGGAGTGTATTCATTTAGAATCTTGCTTCTCATAAAACCGCCCGCTTCGCCTGAAGAGCGGCGTTTCAATCCAAAGCAGGGGAGTTGATGGAATCAGCGTTCTACATTCTACAAGTTACTCTACCTCCAACTCGTTCGACGGATGATCCGAATCGGCGGATCGCTCGTTTTATCTCGCGAGCCACGGAAGGCCTCCATGCCATCTTGCAGCAACACGAAGGGATTTCCTGTCCAAGGCACGTCTTGGTGCCCATGCCGTCCATGGTCCAACAGTCGATGCTTCTCCCGTGCGCAAGAAGCGGCGCTAGTTACGCGTTCATGTCAAGAAGATTCTCTGGTTTTTCGTGATAGATCAGATCATTTAAGATCTAGCCAATCCAGCCACCGGCAGGGACATTCCTGTCGTGAAACAGGGCCGGAACACGCCTTTGGCACTGGCGCGCTGGCCTGTGGACATCTCTCTAAAGAGATGCACTGAAAGTGAACAGCATGAGGAGGCTGGCACGCGAACAGTCATTGGATTGGATCCCTAATCGCATATGTATGCATCTTTGCTCATCCACAAGCACAGTTCACAAAAAAAATGCAAACACCTTCAAGCACGAAAAGTATCGACTTTTGTCTAAAAATGTATCAACAATCTTGGGTGAAATTATTGACTTCGAGCTTTCTGCGGTTCAGTGGCTGCAAGCTGTAATCTTGATGCAACATCTACAGTATGTGGATAAACACTCCGTCATCTGTTGCCAATCGATTCGACTGAAATGTCCCAACTGAGGCACTCTCTCTGCGTTCGTCTCCCCACCAGGCTCCCCGAACTCAGCTGCAGGACCCTATACCCAGCTTCGCTGACCGCTCCACCAACGCCCAAACCGAGATCTACACACGCCCTGCCTTATGAACCGTGTCAACATACCCCAGAATACCTGTTTCAAAAGTATAGTATCCCGTAATAAGTACTAGATCTTATGTAATTTACTTTCCCGGACCTCGTCTATAGTCATTCTATGGAAGTCCATTTAGGCGGCGATCTCGCCTGCACCCAGCGTCCCGGGGCACAGCACAGCCATCGTGGACATCAGGGCACAGCGGCGGGGTGTCTCAGGGCTGCCTCGGCCGGTGGAAGGGGAGACGATCTGCCAGAGCTATGTATAGTATAGTATAGTATAGACAGTATAGACTCTTGATTAACAAAAACATACTAAAACACAAGCCTACTCAATAGTTACTGAAGAGGTTTTGCAATTCAAATGGGAGGTGTCACCTGTCAAGAGTCTATCATTAGCTCTGCTGTGGCGAAAGGATTGTGGTTGGTCTTGCCCAGCACAGTGTGCTCCAACACGACTCGGCAGGCTTAACTTGAAACATCTTGAGAACAATCCAATGGGATCTCTGACGGCCTCCTTGAGGCAGATGACTGCAGATGTAGATCACGAACAGTTGGCAAAACCAACTAATTATAGCATCAACACGTGGTGCAAATCAATGAACCTCCCAGCTTCGACCCTCTTCCATCTCTCTACCGAACTAAACCCAGAAGCTGGCACTTCTTCCCTTGCGCACCACTCGGCTTCGGGTCTTCAGGGCCATCGAGGCCACCTGAGCATACAGCGCTCTTCACGAAAAAAGAAAAAACTCCGCAGGGTTAGGAGGGCAGCCCTACATGTCCTGACAGGTCAAGAATTGATGGATTCCAATCCATGACCCTCCGTCTCAAATCCATCAAGAACCTCATGTAGAGTCGAGTCGCCTCTTCAAATCCTCGGTCTCGATCCTCTGTCTCAAATCCATGGCCAAAAAGACAGGTCGTCTGGTCCGAAACACCAGTTCTCTTCCCGGGTCATCCAAGCTGCTGCCAAGCCGACCGTCCGCAGCCCTCCAGACCACGCCGGTACCCGTCCCGTCACATCAGCGCCGCACGGCAGCGGCAGCGCTGGCAGCGCCGTCGGAGGTCTCAGGTGGCGGTTGAGAAATGCAGGTCACGGCAGGGGGCGAAGCGAAGGAGCCAAGTAAATATGAACATGTCTGGTCTTGGGGGATGTTAAGGGGTGAAAAAACAAAAAAACAAAGAAAATATGGTTTGAGGTGTCAATTTTCTGGTTTGGGGTTTCATGATCACTTGAAGAACCACCTATAGATTTTCTATGAGTCACAAAGTGGTGACGACCAGAGATGATTCCAAGGACTCCATTTTACAATTTGGAACACATCTGCTCAGAACCGGGAGCAGATGTAAAAAGGCTACTTGGACACATCTGTTCCTCTGCATGTCCGACACACGACTTCTTGACATGGAACGCCCTTCTCAACATGTCGCACCGCTTAAGCCCCATTCCGCTCCAACCTGGTCGTCTGGTCATGTCGATGCCATCCGAGAGATGTGAAGGCGAACATGGCAGTGACTGGCCTGTAGTCCTTTGAATCTACGGAGCTAAGCTTTGTGCTTACGCCCCATTTTTTTCAGTGTCAGTGTGTGGGTGTCGGGGGATATGAATGATCCTCAGATCAGGTGTGCCTGCAAATGCGCTGTGAGAGAAAGCCGTTGTGTCAGTCTTGAAGCCCTTGCATGACTTTCGCAGGAAACACATATTGAAGATATTTGAAGATCATCAGGGAAAACTTGATGGTTGAGGTTGAGGCCTGCACACATCCCTTTAGCAAGTCATGCTTGTTTCCTGCTATTTCCTGCTTCAAACCCAGAAGCTGATTGGCTGGCTGCGAGTGCAGGATTACTGCCACAGCGCGTCACCAAATGACAACCTTCTTGTCAAACACAGCTACTGTCATTTGTGTTGGTCCAGTTTCTGAACTGCACCACACAGTCTATTGAAATGGAGTACAGCACAATCTAACAAGACTTTGCTGGACAAATTCTTTCGGTGGTCTACTTGAGGATGGGTAGTTTCTTCTCGACCCCACCCCAAATCCTGCAGCAAGAATTGGATGTCATCAAACAGGATGGACTGCCTTGGCATCATGGACAAACTATGAACTTCCAATGACTCATTTTAGCCCACCTGGCAGTCATACTGGACCCCCCCCAAAAAGACAACAACAACTAAAACCAACAAACTCTAGGGCTAAAATGAGTTCTGACTGGATTTTCTGGGTCACCTGACTACACTTTCTAATCCTATAGTGGCTAGCTGCTGCTAGCTGCGGAGTACCGGCAGTACCGGTCATGCCGGAGGCTACTCCAAGTGAGTGAAATAGGACGGACATGACGGTCGCACGGTTTGCACGGTTCGACAAGCACGCACTGTTTGTTTGACCAATCATCTCATGAACGTTTTTTTTTCAAGGGATGCGGTCCTACTGAATGGCATGGCGCACAAACAATGTCCGTACTGTAGTATACTCTTGACCAGTGTGAAGCTGAGATCCTGAGGCTGCAAGAAGAGCAAAGCATACATCCCTCAAAGCTCTCAAAAGACGATGTTCGGGCCAAGCCTTACATGAACCACAACTTGGGATTCCAAGACCCATGTTCAAGCTTGGGAGTCCTTCTAGATTGACGACCTGGGTGTCGTTGCCTTAGACATAGAGACACCCTGGCCCAATGGGTGTCGATGTTCATTCTTCAAGGGGGGCCGGAACGTCTTGGAAGTCTCCCTATTTTGATACACCATGTTGCAGGGAACCCACGCCGCCACGCCCAATTTTCTCGACTGGGGCACACCCGGTCTCTCCTCTGGCTGCGCGATTCGGATCATCCAAGGCGATCCAAGGCAAGTCTGGATCTGAAGCCCCAATAACAACGTCAGTCCCCACAACGTCAGTAACATAATTAATATACAGTGGTTTCACATTAGATGGCACAAACCCTTAATTAATGTTCTTGTTATTTTGGTGATTTTAATAAACCAGCTTTGGGGGATTGTGCCATCTACTCTCCATTCACAGTACACAACGCAGTGGTCATCCACTACGATTCAGTTGGATGCTGGACCCGTGATTTCGAGAAACCTTCAGAGTGGGACCCCTTTCTATGCTTCAAGTCTTTTAGTGAGTCTGGGTATGTCGGTATGTCCATTTAGAATTGCATTTTGCTGAGTATCTTGAAACAACATCAGCATCCAAAATAACTGATCCTGTTGCCAAGAACAACAGTGCAAACTCCAGACTACATATTCCAGTACATATTCCAGTCCTTGCAAAAATGAAGAACCCCAATGAATCTTCCAATTGCACATATGTGTTCAAGTGTTGCTGCTTCGGCGGCATGGTCTGGATTGTTTCATCGGCCCTTTCCCTAGGTGCAACTTCCCCTTAACTGCCGGAGAAAAGTGAGATGTTGGACTAAAAGGCGCCCAGAGATTCGCTCTCTTGGAGTTTGAAAACCGTTCACTTCTCGGGAGATGATGAACCACCTGCTTGTAGTGCTTCATGTTGTCACTGTACGTGGGATGAGCAGTGCAGTGTAGTGCTGTTAAGGAAATCCCCTCTCCCGGGTCCAAACCTGCCTTTGTCAGGAAACACCTTAAAGAGACGAACTGTTGTGGAAACCAGGTTATCATGAAGGGTGTCTACTTGCCTTGGATTTTGAATAATTGCATGCTGGCAATATTGCATGCTGGCAATCATCAAACACGCTGTCACAACCGGAACACGCAGTTCCTTTGGCTGGTGCTTTGTAGCGAAACATACATAACCATGCATCTTTGTTGGAGGTAGAGTTACACGAAATCATATCATATGGTTATAAAAGTTTTACGTGGCTTCGACCAATCATTAATGATCATTGATGGGTACATGTGGTTGATTCGGTGCCAGTCAGGCCAAAGGACAAAACATGAATCCAAGCAGCAAAATGGACAGCTTGCATAAAAAACTAGTGGATCGTGCAAATTACAAAGACATTCAATGTCTAGGGGATAAGGACTGCTAGAGCTCCTTCATCGAAAACCAAACACCTACAGCCTGCTCACAGCCTGCTCACAGCCTGCCTGCTTAACGGCCTGAACTTTGAAGTTGATCGGTCCAGTACTACAATCTAAATCTATATGGGTGTCGGTGTCAGTGAGTATAGTCATAGGGAGACCCCCTATTTCCCGAACCTTTCACGGAATCAAACTGGGAGGTCTCCTACTTCAATACACACCCACAATGGCTTTCGCATTTTGCATTTTACTTCCTAGCCGCAGCTGTGGTTTTCTATTATCGTTATAGAGTAAGATTTCATTTATCAACCAGCGAAGTCACTCGTTGGCAAGATCACTGGGAAGCCACGCCACGCACCGCCCCGTACACGTCTTCTAGCCACTCATCGTCATCGTGGGGGAGTCCGGGCGACGGGCTTTCGCGCAGCGGAGAGCAACGGAGGTCGGTGACATCCACATCCACGTGGGCCTGAACCGTGATATGTGTGCGTTCTTTAATGGTGTGTAGTTTCACTAGGGAGACCGGGCATCCCGACCCCCTGGAAGAAAAGAAATAAACCCGTCTAACTCTCCCATATTTTGGAAGAGAAGTCGTTGGTGGACATGGACTTTGAGCGCGTGAATGACGAATCACATGCAAGTTTCTTTGTTTCAAATCATATGTACCTATCAACCAGTCACCTCGTCCCAGCATCCATGCGCCAAGAGCATATTCCAGCATCATCTGATCTGAGATCCTTTGACCAATCTGAGCCCATGACCCGAAACATCCCTACTATGGCTGGTTTCTCCATGTTCCTCTTAACTCTGCTGATTAAAACACTCTTCACATACGCTCACGCCTGCGGGAAGCTGCTCAATCTTCACCAGGGGCGATGCGCTGCCGCTTTCGTGGGCGGCCGCTTCCGCCCTCCGTGCGGTCCGCAACATCCTCTGTGCGGTCCGGAGCGTCTGCGTGTTGGAACAAAGCCTCAAAGCCGTCATCCTGGCAGGAGGAAGAACGCTCAGGGTAGAATGAATGTTTAGAGACGGTGGGAAAGAGATCAGCAGTTTTTAGGAATTCCAATGAATTCACGAATGAATAGTGGAAACATGTACCGTCTTCTTCTGAAAGTCCACCCCCCTTCAACCCGTAAGAATTCTGGCGTCTGCGCAAAAGAAACTTAACACCTTCCAAGTTCCTGAGCACACAAAATTGAGGGCCAACTCTTACCAATGATGTTTCCTGCCATCGCGGTCGATCCACCCGAAGGACAACTGGACACATGGAGAGGACCCCCCCCGAACCCAGGTCCAATGCTGGACCCTCACTATGTATCTGCCTCTGCCAAAAAGCGCAGCGCGAGGTCTGGACGCTACCACACAGACTCGCTCACGTTCACGTATGCCCCTAAAGAATGACCATGTTCCGACTCGAAGGAACACTCCCTGGTTCGGACACCCACACGGACCTGTGAAAAAACATCAAGAAAAGCGCTGGTTGGTAGAGGAACATCGTCCGGACATTGGCAGGTGCACGCCCTCAGGTTCCATGTCTTTTCCCGGGTGTATCCCCCGGGTGTGACGCGCACAAAAGATCGTGCCGAAACGCCTGAATGTCTTCCTCGTCTTTCAGCCCGTCTCTCAGCCCTCGCGCGCGTGCCCAAGAGGCAGAATGAAACCCACATATTTCAAGCAAAGGTGATATATGATCTTTTTCACAGTTTTCAGTATGCATACAGCATTTTAGTATATCTATTTACGGTATAACATGCAGTGGGACTGCTTTCATGGAACACCGCGTGGTCTCGCCCCATCACTTACCGCGTCGCCTCGCTCAGGATCTGGGATCACTTCCGCTGACATCCCAATTCAGTTCATGATCTGAACTTTTCCCCCCTCACAGACTACAGTACATCATGTATTTACACCCGGGTGTGTGTGTGTGTGTGAGTGAGTGTATGTATGTACGTATGTATGTACGTAGGTATGTACGTATGTATGGGTGAGTGAGTGGATGGATGGATGTAACTATGTATATATACAGAGCGGAGCTGGCAGTCATGTCCCTTGGACTTCGGCTCCACGACCATCCGGGCTGGGTGATTGAGAGGAACTTCGCAACGGGGGTGGCAAAGTCCATGTCTATCTCCAAGGTTTCTGTCATATTCAGCACATGAATGAGTTGGCATTGCACAATGCCCTGCATGCTTGCTATTTCTTGATTGCGTCAGCTTAACCCAGTTGAACTCTTTGGATTTTGGATCAAGAGTTTGCTCTGATGGCCCTTGGTGAACATGATCCTTAACGCAATCGTTTGGCGCCTTCTGTTTGAACAGTTGTTTACCCATCATACACACACAAACACTAACAAAATGACACAAACATAGTGTCACTACCAGCTGTTTGATCTAGGGACTCCGCCATGATTGAACCATTCCACCTCCTCTCCGCCTCCCCAACCTCCACCCTGAATCTGCGTCAAGAAAGACCGCGTCCACCTGCCCCGCACGATCCAAACCCTCTTCCATCGTCCTATACCCGTCCCCGTCCTCACCATCCGTCCGGTCCGGGTTTCGCTGAGGCCCCCCGGCGGGCGCTGAGGATCGGGGCCGGGGCACGAGCTTCGACCACGGCCTTGACCGTCTCATTGAGGATGTCACGGACCTCGGGGAAACGGAGGAACGAAACGGAGTGACGGGGAACGAACGAACGGCCCAAAACGGGACCACGGGGGTTTCTATAAGGCCAGCCGTGAGAAAACGGACACTGGTCAATAAGGGTTTCGGGGTCGCCGGGAGAACCATATTATATAAATGTGGCGGAGAAAAGGTTCAATTCTCCTTTTACTCTAGTATAGTTCCAGTGCCTGTAAGATGGTTTAACAAGCCGTATTTCTGTTGAAGCACAAACATGGGGTGCCAGCGGCTGGCAAAATGAGCCTAGTTATATCAGCCAGGCCGCCATGCTCCTCCTCAGCCATAATTGGACCCTGCAAAATATCCCATCTGAACGGAATGACGTTCCAAATGTCACCTTCAGCCCAGTCACCTAAAATCCTTCAGAACCTCCAATCTCATTCTCAATCCTTAAAATCCTTCAACATGTTGCCTCGAAAACTCATTCCCTTCAGCCCAGTTGCTTTCACTTTCACATCCACAATGGCATCCTCGGCTGCGAGACTGGCACCGCGTCGCGTCTGTGGTTCACAGCTTCGAGATGTTCCACTGCAGCTGATATTTTCACGCCTACCCCCAAAAGCAAGTGGACATCCTCTTGTCTCTGCTCTATGTGTTCAATGAAGCATTCTTGCAATGACCGCTTTGGGGCAGTGTCCTCATCAAAAACACCGTGCGTTGTCCTCAACTTTGCATTATTGCATGCATGAATATATTCATGCATATATTCATGAATGGCCAATGAACACCCCATCGTGGGCTCTTGGCCACCTGTAAATATTGCATTATAATGCATTTATAAGCTCAATCCCTGAGCGTGCGTATAGCACACGTCCCACCTGTCACACTCCGCGAATGATGTCATGGACATGGGAAGGACATAAGACTGGTATCTCTGCACGTCACAAGCAGAAAGGCAGTTTTCAAGGTGCTTGGCCCGCCTATACAACATCACTATGATACAAAAACAAAAAGGCTATACTGCAAATTCCCTTTCCCCGATATCCTGGATAGAGACTAAAACCCATTCAACGAAAGCTACATGTTTTAAACACCTCCACGTTGCCCAAACACGCTGGAACTCAGTCTCTTCAAAGATCTTGACAACCATGTCACCCTCAAAATTCAAACAAAGCGTGACAAACTGTCTCCCAGTATTGCAATAAAAAGGCCGTTGGATCTTAAACAGAATCAGCCCCAAATGTTCCATGTATGACGCATTTGCCTACATTGGCTGCAAGTTCAACCACCCGTGGCCCCCTAACCTCATGAGGAGTTATGCCAGTCCCAGTCAGATCGTATACCCACGCTCACTCTTCCACGACTCTTGGGGATCAGACAGACCGAGCATATGGACCCGGGAGTAACCATTACGCACCCTCAAAGACCGTGCCGTTCCTCTATTTTAGGGTCCATGTGAGTTTTGTATCGCTCCACATCTCCATGTCTCTAAACACAGCCGCGTCTCAGGATCTTTCTTTCGCTTCAGCCGCTGCAGCTCTCGTAGTGCCCAAAGCCGCCGGTTGCATCGACCTCGCTGCGGCCGTCTCGGTGCGTCAACGATGGGCCTTTCGGACCGACCCGTGCGTCAAACATGGTATACAGTCATGGAAGAAGCCGGGTCTCTGAAGAGATTGATCGGATGAAATGAGGAAATGATTGTAAACAGATTTCAATTGTTCTTCAAGCCCTTTCTACTTGCCCAGTCCTCTTTCTGTGCCTTGGGAAAGGAGCCGAAGAGTTAGACTTGTCCAATCCGCAGACTTTTTGACAAGTAAAGAGGACAGTCATACAAACAGAATGCAAACGTGCCCGCTGTTTTCAGAGATCCATCTTCTGTCTACTCCATGTATGGCCCAGAAAAGAATGCTGGAAAACTGGTGGGCCCTTATGGAATGATCCCACATGAAAACCACATAACACTTGAGAGGGAAAGGTACATTCGAGGCACTGTCAACATCTATACGCATCATACGTTTGCAACGTTTATACCTATAGATTTTCCTCAGTCCGAGTTTGATTCCAACAACCTTTTCGTTTGAAGAGAAAGGAGGCTTGGAACACAAATCGAATTTAAATACTGTTGGAGTCTGGTGTAAATAGATCTCTAGCTTCACTGAGTTCTGAACATTTGGGGCTTAAACCATGTAAGCCGCCTTGCGCTTCCATGTCGCGGCCCCAGCGAAAGCAAGAGAGGCCATGAGGGACGGAAGCATTGGACCTGGGCAACCTTGCTACAAAGTTCTGTAAGATGATCTCTTCATCTTCCTGACTCCTCATCTTCGCTCGCCTTGCTTTTTGCAATGACCAAACATTGACGGGATTGCATTGGAAGACCCGAAAGTCCATGAGACACTCCCACCTTCGGCTCAGGCGGGACAGTCCCTTGTGTTCAGAATGCAGGCACCACCTGATCTCAATTGCCGCAGGGAGAAAGCTAGGTGGTGGAGTGCGTGATGCTGCGGCTTTGGAACGAAGCCGTTGACAGAGAATATCCGTGGAGAATCGTCATCATGTGGACGGCATGAGCCCACAGTCACGCTTCATCCAAAGAAGGTTACTGAGTTACTGTGCACCAAACGCAACTTCAGAAGCTGCCATCCGATAACTTGCAACATCCGATGGTTGGAGAAGCTGCTGGTGGCCTGGCCTGGAACCTGTAGCCACTTCAGTAACAACACGCTGTCATTGTTCTTTAGGCTGCTCCATGGTGCTGACATCAGCCCGGTCATGTTAAAAAGGTGTTTGGTGAAAGATTGCAAACCAGCGCTTTTGCCACACGCACAGCAATAGAGTGCAAACAGAGAGTGCGCTCTTGCGAGCCACTTGTCCATAATCGAAGCCCAGTCGAAGCAGGAGTGTGAGGACTCCCCTCTATGACATCTCGGGCCGGCCCAACCTTATAAGTATGTGGAAGAGGTCTCCTTGCACTGTCAGTTCAGTCGAATGGCACCAAGGAAAGACTGGGGGTATTTTGCCGGCCTGCTCATTTACAAAGTTCTTTCCCAGGTTGGACACTTGCCAATGCTCAAAGCTGGCCCCAGGACCTCCAGCTCCACAGTGGTGACACGGTTCAATAGCACTTGACGTCCCAGCATGTGCATCCCTTTTCTGAAGTCCATCTCTTCCTTACTGATACCAGGGCTGCAAAGAAGACTCGGCCATTGGCAGTGGTGACACCTTTATAGAAAAGGGATGTCAAGCTGTCGGAACGGCTTGTGAAGAGGGTATCGATAGTTCTATGCTTCTTACAAATTCCAACTAGAGAAAAGAAGCCATTGCGCCATCGGGACCAATAACTGTGGCCTTAGTAGTTGGATACTTGCTGTCGACCAATCTCCAAATCCTCCGGTGACAGTGCACCAAGATCTTCACCAAAGGATGGGAGCCCAGAACGTTTCTGAAAGTCTTCCGTACCATTGTTCTTGGAAGCCTGAATCAAATTCACAGAGCGTAGCACTTACGCGACTCGATGGATACGACAAGGTATAGAAACTCTTTTTCACAGAGCGGCGTTCATCACCGTGCAAGCAGATCAGAACAACGTATGACGCCATCAGACTAAAGCTGGTTCACTCGCTTGCTGTTCTGAAATGATCCCAAAGCTCTACCGAGATGAATGTCAATGTTCCCGTTTGTTTTAAAGCAGCCTTGATAGCCATCCTTGAAAGATCAAACTTTGTGCAGGTGTGCATGGGCTGGTGTGCATAGTAGGCTCAAAGAGTGAATAACAACCTGAAACTGAAATTCATCCGAGTTCCAAAAGATTCACCAGACCTATGTGTCAATAAGTCGGACATAAATTTCAGTATATGAATGAAAATGTAGGTATGCATCATATATGCATCATATAACTAGGCTTGCAAAGGAGTTTGTTCTTTCATTCTTCGGCATTCGCGTCTTGCGTCGCGTTCTTCTTCGGCCTTCCTGGGCGCCTTCGGTTTGAAGACCTGAGAATCCCGGCTGATGATGCGGTCACCCACTTTCACGGCCAGTAGAAGCCTAGTACACGAGGAGAGGCGAGGCAGAACGGCCGGGTCGTCCGAGCAAGTGGACCAGTTAGTGGAAACCGGCGCAGGCTGCGTGGACGAACTGGATCAACACCCCCTCCTCAATTCGGAGATGTAAACGTTTTATTCAGTCAACATGGGGTCTGAGGGTCTGAAGGTCCTGGGGTGTCAGCAGTTGAGGAGGTTTTCCATTTTCTGGTAACTCTTGCCGCTTGGAAAGCAGCTTCTGTGCAAGGGACAACAGGGTGCTTCTGTGCATGAACCAAAGAGACGCCAACTTTCAAAAAAGAAACGGGTGTCCAAACTAGAAAACTATACAGTATGGTCGAAACACCAACCCGACTACTGTAAACCCTTACCTTAATGTGTTCATTGCATTCTTCGGCAGTTTGTAGCTTTAACAGTGAAGTCTGTCCAACGGTTTGACTGGCTCGGAGAGTCAGCTGTTCAGCATGAGATCTTGGAACAAAAGTGTCCGATAACCTCGAAAAAGAAAGGTACAACAAGACATGCTTCAGCCAACCACCTTGGAGATTGGGAGCTCCTTTCCACCAGTTCCAAACCCAGCCACAGCCTTGCGCCAGCTCAACTGAACTGGCGCAAAGAGTTCAAACATCTTCGCGACCGCTCCGGTGTGCCGGTTTCGGCCAAGCCGCATGAACGGGAAGGCTTTGGTGTTCAGATGCTCCACCTGCGATCCGTGCATCGGCCGGATGGATCCTCCGGCTTTCTTGGGTGGTAACTCCTTCATCTGAGAAACCATTAGTCGAGACAAAGATCATTTGGATGTCTTCATGTTTGATTTGGTGGAACAGAAGCATATTGTTTTTGTCATCAATGTCTATTTGCATGGCTGCTGTGGCTTTGATGTTTTGCAGTTTTGCAGTGCTTTTTTGATATGATGTGCTGATGTTGTTTCCTGTTTTGGGTGCAACAATGCATCATCCAAGGAAGCTGGTGGCAAAGTGGAAAGAGGTCCCAAAGTGTATGCCACACCAGATGACCTCTCTGAGTTGAATGGACCAGGTTTCAAATTCGTTCTCAATCACAATGACCATAGATGGACTGTTACCTTTAAAAGGCAGAGTCCAAGTGTGCATTGGATTGACAAGTACAAACAGGTTTCTATGTCTAGATCCTTCCAGTTTGATGTAGAGGATGATTGGGTGAACAAGCTCAAGTGCATCCATGAATGGGCATGGTCAAAGTGGGCTTTGGCAGTAGACTTGCCAGAGCTAAGTTTGCCCAGTGGTGAGAATGCACAGACCCCTGGAGAGATCAGTGAATCAGACTGAAGCCTGTGGTGAAGAATTTGCCAGAGAAGACCCAGTACAAGAGATGAGAGAGAAAAGAATGTGCTTGTTTGTGTGGAAGTGTGGCTGCACCAGGGTCTTGTGAGATTGATTCAACTCCACACTGCAATAGAGTTTGATGCAATTTTCTGCAATGTATTTTAATTTGTTTTAATGTTTCTCAATCTTTCTATATGTTTTCCAATCTTTCACTATGAAAAGCTAGGAAAAGCTATGAAAGCCTATAATCCATATACAGTGGATATGTGCTGAATATCATCCCTCTGATGGGGTTCCCTGTTGGGATGATTGAATAATTCTGATGGGCTTTAGAGCTGGACATGTTGATTTCATATGATTTCATTCCCTGCTAATAGACCCGTTGACGAAACACGACCTGTCTCCGGACAACATCCTGCATCAATGATTGACTTTACCCTGGCTATCTCTCTCTCTCTCTCTCTCTCTGTGCAAGAATATGTAATGATCCTATCCACTATGAAACCTTATGGAAATGGTGGTGCCAAAGCGCCGGTCTTTTTTGCGCAAAGCCAATTGAATATTGAAAACTAGGAATCCTATACTAATAGGGGAGATCTAGTGCGGTGTTTAACATGCTTCACAGTATGCTTGGACAGTCAATTCCAGTTATCACAATAGTTGTTTCATCATTGTCCACAAGAAACAAGCAGGCACTCCAAATAATGTTAATTAATATGTGTTTAATGTGTTCTATCATTGTTTTGATTTGATCAAACATATTTATATATAACTTATACTAACCTATACATTTTCTAGCGTGCACAAGTAGTGCAACAAGTGCGTCCAGTGGCAGAATTCCACACGAGTCTGGCAGTAACAAGAAGCCACTAGTAGCAAAGGGCATCGCTACTAGTAACAAGGGCATCGCTATTAGTAGCATTCTTGCTACTAGGAACAAGAAGCTAGTCACAAATTCAATACCAATCAGTTCTTCCGGAAGTCGCACGAGCTGGCAAACACTTGGTACGTTTTCCTACCAAGCTCAGGCAGGATTCTTTTGTTTATGACGCTTGATCATGCGTCGTTTCACATTTGCTATCCCTTAGCCTGCAACTCATCCAGTGGTTGTTCTGGTTCTACACGCTCGTGGGACAGGTCTGGCATCATATTTGTCCTCGCATCGTCTGCTCGACTTGTTGATTCCCTGCGTTTACTACTGAATTCCACAAACACGTCCAAAACCACCTAAACTTTACCGAACTAAACATGTATTATATGTACAGTATATATAGATACAGTATATAGAACTGCTTTCCAGTCCCCAGCAGCCCAAACGCCTTCCCCGTAAACAAATCATCCACTGTGTCTTCCAAAAAGCGGCCGCAGGTGAAGCGTTTTGCAATGCCTCAATACGGAACCCACGTTACAACCAAAGCGAGCGGAATCTGGACGGATCTGCATATCCTTGGAAACGGTGTTTGATATGATTTTGGTGGGTGTAAAAACTCCAGGTAACGTGTCAAAGGGTAGTACATTGATCCTGATGTACAGATTATAATGGGGAGGATATGCATCAGTTTGATGCAGAAAGTGCAACTCTCATTCAACAGTGAGGTGAGGACATGTTTGGGCTGAGCCTTTACACGCAGTAAAGGGACATTCCGGCCTGGTAGTTTTCCCAAATTCGTCCAGACTCCGATTTTGACCAATCCAGATCACGAGATGGCACAGCCGTAGGCGTGAGAAAAACAACACCTCCCAGAACAAATTAACCAGCCCAGGCCTGATTACTCAAGGCAAGCAATCTCTTTAGGTCTTCTGGGCCTGTTGTGGGCCTGTGGTCGGCCTGTGGGACCCACACAACACTGGTGCAACTGAGCTGCTATCCTGGGAGAACTCCACTGCATCCACCTCGTAGGTGGCGTAGTATGGAGGCCCAAGGTCCTCTTCGATGGGACGTGACCTGTTCATGGAAAGCGCTCTGACATGCTCTGACGTCCTAACGGGTCTTTGTCAAGCTCTACCTGCGAAGATAAACAATAGTACCAACGGGCCCGATCTGAAGAGAGGAATCGAATGCAGAGGCTGTCGGATAGCAACCATGTAGGGGTTACTAGTAACCTTTGTCTTATCTCCGACGTGATCATACAAATCCTGTTTTACTCGATGCAGGCTGTCCTGAACTGGCATCCCGAAAGTTATACTTTCCCTACAAAGCGACTTCACTGTCACAGAGCGTGACGCCTGCTGCTGCCAGAAACTATGTGACTTTCGGATACAATGTGATCAAACAACTGTTTAGAGCCTCCTCCTGCCCGGCCAAGAAGCAATTTGTCTCATTCCATCATCCAATGCAACAAATGGTTGCAAACAAATTCGCGCCAATAAAAATCGGACAACAACGTCTAAGCAGTCGCTCCAAGTCTGAATATCAAATTCCAAACATCACCAACGTGTGTTTGGTCCATGAAACGTCGTCTAGATGGTGTCTTGTGTTGCAAACCCTGAAACCATCGAACTGACGGATCATCAGTGCACCAGGTCTGTAAAATATTCTTCACCAAGCCAGCTGTCAATCTGGTGGATGCGCTGTGACGACTAATAAAGTCAGGGGCCTAAATTAATTAAGGTACCAAAAAGCCTGGCATCGAAGGCGGAATGCGGCCGCACTCTCCGACAGCTTCCAACTCCCACATTCGCCAAAAAACGGTCAACTGCTTCTTCATAATGCATGTTGGGGCCGCTCTCAAACTTGGTACAGTACATTGCGCCAATCAATTGCACCCCCCGCACACGAAAACCATGACATTAAAATGGTGCACCCCCGTCGTCATCTTTGCCTATTGTAGGGTTGATGTCCACTTCTATTGGCTCCAGGTTTATCAAGGTTGATGGCCACTGAAGCGTAGTACAGCATGAGAAACTTCCCTTTCAAACATAGATCAAAACGAGTGTGCATCCAGCCTGCTGAGTAAATTCAAACATTCCAACAGCCGATTTTAGCGATGCCAGTCGCTCAAACCGTGACAGTTTTTGTCTGGGAATGCGACATCAAGTGTGCAACAGTATGCTCCATGTTCCATCTCTCGCGCCTCCTCTGCCGTCCTTTCACGTCCTTTCGGGGAGAAGGCTCTCGCGTCCTTGCGCCGCTTGCGCCGCGGGACCCTTTGGAGCGAGAGAAGACCCAACGACTGGGTCCTTGGTGGTGCTTTGTGCCACTAGATCCAGCTCTAGATCCATGGGGTTCGCACCTTCTGAGGGTTGTTTTTGCACCGCCCGGATCCAGTCGCACCGGTCACCGGGTCGGGGGTCGGCGATTGGAGACGTTGTGTAATTATAGTAATTAGAGGTGCCAGGTTGGAGTTGAAAGGAAAAGACATGACACTCATGGCACTCCAACCTTTCAGCCCAATGTGTGAACCACCGTCGCCATTTTTGGCCGAGATGTGTTCACGTTGCACCGAACGCACGCGCGGCTTCCGCAAAACATGTTCATGAACTGGTTTAAGCGCACACATCCGTACACCGTAGCACACCACCACGCAGTGTACTTACCTTAGACTTCCAAGACCATCAAAAAAATAAGTTGACCATTGTTGACCTGGTTTCGTAGTGAGTGTAAAATACTTAGTTCAACAAAGAATTATGTTTGGTATATAAAGCTCATTAAATGAATGGTGGTTGGACTTCTAGGGCTATATACATAGTGACTCTCAAGACTTGAGGGGAAGGCCCCATGGAATCAACAGCTCCAAGGTATCAAACCTTGGGTCATTGACAGTCTGGCATGTACAAGACTCTGTCCTGGAAAGCAGTGGGCCTGCTTCCTTCAATAACATTCACCGAAGAATGTACAAACTTGTACCAACAGTGGATGCAAACAACTTTGTCGTATCTCTACACCTTTTCATCATGCCAACAATCTGTTTCATCTGCCGGCGGGGAATGGTCTGCATTTCATCTGAGCATGCTCTGAACTCGCCCCCATCAGGCCCCAATCCCACAGCAGTCCCTTCTGCAGCTTTGGCCCTGGTCGGTTGGAAACCCCAGAGACGCGAGGAGCGCTGGGCCACACTGAGAAAAGCGGCTCGATCGATACCAGGAAACTGTGCGGTCGACATTGCTGTCGAAACGGTTCTGCTGTCACGTCAGATCTCTGAATCAAACAAATCTTTCATAATCGTTCATTATTAAAGCAAGTCTAGAATCAAATTCTTGACCAAGCCTTGATGAGACCACGTTTTGATTTTGGATCCCCTTTGTAGCTAAACCGTCAACGGTCTATTTGATGCTCTTTCAAGAGGTGATCAACCCAATTCCAGCTCGTGGATGCAAGCAAAGTGAACAGCGGAACATGCAGTTTGACTGACTGCCTTTCCTTCCGTAAAGTAAAAACTGAAAACCGGTCTGAACACCGTCGGGAGAACAAAGCAGTCTGGGTATTCAAACAATGTTTGTTGATTTCTGGGATGAACAAACACTGACAGTCTGAATACGTACCCAGTCTTGCCCAGTCTGAGAGAAACCTGCGCGGTCTGCTAGGTCCCCAGTCTGAGAGATACCATCGATCAACTCCGTTGACTTAAAAGAAACAAACAAACAAAAAACGAGCAACTTAGCTTGGTAAACCTAACACAACTGAATCAAACACGTGCAATCTTAGAGCATTTCATTCTAACTGCACCTGCCCCTACATCCACCCAACAAATCCAGGACTGGCCGCTGCGTACTTCTGGAGACTGTCAAACAGCTGCGTGTGCTGTGCGTGTACTTCTGTCAAACAGCACACGGTACCCAAGGGGACTCTCAATACTAAGGTATGCCAGTCCACAAACTCATTGCACCTCAACTTTGTCTACACGTACATGTGAGATCATGTAAGCATGTCTGCTTTCTGTGATCGATGGATGCGTTTTGCCCAAATCCCGCATCCGACCACCCCGAGTCCGCCCTTGAGCGCGCCCGCCCTTTTGAACGAACCAAAGTGGTGGAACGGTGTCCCCGCCTGGGCAGTTCTGGGATGGTCAAATGCACCACGACGCCAATCACTTGCAAAGGTTTAGCCACCTGCGACGGTGCAGCGGACACACTCGGCAGCGGAACATCACCATCATGGGGGACGACAGTGAACTCAGTGAACACCAAAAAAAAAAAAGCACAGCCCGGCGCGTCTCTTCGGAGGAGACGCACTGGGGTGTGTAAGTTCACCGATTGCTGGGCCGAGGAAAAACTGAGACGCAAAGGCAGTCAAAAGTCGGATTTCTGCGATTTACGGGTTCAAATTCAAGAGTAGATGCATGGGCTGAGTACGGGGTCGAACTGGAGTTGAAAGCAGAAAGCCGGGTGGGAGGGGAAAACCAGTTCATGAACATCAAGCGTTTTGGGGCTTCAGCAAGAAAGTAGCAACATGCCTATAGTGTAAAACATGACTGCGTTTGTCCTGGCAACTGTTGCTAATCTGATCGATCGACTTCACACATTCACCAACAAGAGACGACAAGTCACCAAGTTGGCCAGAATCCCTGCCCTTTTTGGTCACTGCCGGCCAAAACGCTCAATTGATCCACCTTAAATTTTACAGGCATAGGCAGAGCCTAGCCTTTCCAATAGTATATATAGAGCTGAATGTGAAGAAAGCGTATACCAATGTCCTCCATGGTGAATCTGAAAGGTCTTCATCAATACACCTACAATCGATTCTGAGGCACCGAGGGGTATGGAGAACCATAACGATTTGAACAATTAATACTTTATGAATAACACGCAACAATTATACATCCATGCGCGGTTTTCAGGTGTTCTATCATGGCGTTCTCTACAAAAAAACGATTAAAGAAGTTGTCCACCGGTAATAGCAATGCCCCCCCCCAACGACCCGACGACCGCCCCCAACCTTACGCCAAAAGAGTGGATCGGAGAATTGATCCTCGACGTAGAGCACCTGTTGGAAGATTGGGCGGAATGGAGGTCTGAGCTTCTGAATTCGGTTCTCAGACCAAGTGGTTCATCTGGTGAGGGTAGCATCGGGTAGCATGGTGGTAGCGTTCCAACGGGAGAATCAAGCAACAGTGGTGGGCATGGAAACGCGCTGTTTTCCAGTGGGTCACAGTTGAAATTTGAGTCCAAGATGGCGGACCTGTGATTCATTCTCAAGTCTCAATAGGTGGAACACACAAGCTAAATACACGCCCAACATGTAATAAAGTAAAGGTCATTGTCAAGTGTAAGTAATATGTAATTCATTGTAGTACAACACCTGAAAGAAGAAGGATTGCCCCCCCTTCTTCCGGACCAGTGTGAAGGGAATGACAAACAAGCACCAAACAACTTACTACGTGATGCGACAAAACTTCAGTGATTGACCATCTCATATTGGGCAACACAAGCAGCCTAATTAAGCTACCATGACAACACATAATTCGTGACTGGGTCCCAAATCCAAGGCTAGGTCCCAACTCCTCCTATGTAACGTGCAAGCTGGCAAGTGTCCAAACTAGTGCGCAAACGCCGGTTGAGAGATCAAAGATGAGACCCGAAGAAGCAAATCGGATAAGTGAGCCGCTTGATTCCCAATCACACAAGCTCCATGTTGTTGACCACAGATTACTCAGTGTCACGAGTGGCATGGCGTGCTCATGAAACACACCCCAGGTTGATATCAAAAAGAACAGAAGCCATGATGGTTTCTCCACATCGATGTCGCCCTCAGACGTCGTTTCTATGCAGTTCAGATCCTCGGTGCCCATGCGCTGCAAATGATCTCCCGCATGAGCATCAACTTCATGGTATCGCTCATCCTCAAGGAACGACCGATATTCTCCGAAATCGACAAACGTTGCAGAAAACGGCTGATTGCATCAGAACAAAAGAACGCCCTTTCCGCCAGTACCGTAGCTCGCTGATTCCGCTGCGTGCTCACCAAAAGACCTTGAGACCTGCATAGACCTGCTATATCTATACAGTCTATCGCTCCAAAGTTCGGCCACGAAGCTTCTCAGGTCGGCTGAGTTGGATTCCGTTTCGATCCCCGAGGACGACAAATCAAACCCAGCTAGGCTCTATCAGGGTCTATAGGGGACTATCCGACTCGAAGACATGTGAAGACTGTTCTCTGGTTTCGGACGGACGACGGAGGTACCTGGAGCCGAACTGGGTCAGGCGATCAATGAACGTCCTTCGCTGAGATGCTGCCGTGTGGCCAAGGTTGCATCTGCTTGTACGTGTTGAATGCCTGGAAGAGCCGAATTCCCCGAAACGAAAACGGTCGTCGAAGCTGTGCTGAAGTTGGACCTGGACGTTAGTAGGCTGCGGACATGCTGCCATGCTATGGACTGCATGAGCCTGACCTTGGCTTGAAACTGGACTGCTGGTGATTGAAAACCTCTCAGATTTGTGGTCAACACATGGAATTCTCCTCCAACAAGCTGCAAAGAAGCAGAACCTGCATGGGGACTTGGCGAGAAGAAAGAGGTATACATGCTTAACCGATCCAAAAAAGGCCCAACAAGAATAGCTCATCCAAAATAGAACACCCTGGTACATCCAGTACATGAGGATGGGTTGTTCAACCCACCATCTTCACCCGACCAGTCTACGCGCCGACGCGAAGCGCCGACATGCGCCGACCCCGTCCTGGAGGACGGCCGGGGCTTGCCTGGTCGGTCTAGTGCCACGACCCACCATGACCCACCGCCACATGACCCCCCTGCCGTTCAAACACGATAAATCCTCCCACCTGCTTGAAGAGCTGGTAGACCTTGCCCTCAGACGGATCGGATGAAACCAAGGCCACACCCAAACGAATTGCCCGTGGCGGCCCGTATACTTCGCCGTAAGACTAGGCCCTAGAAGTCCAGTTTGACTATGTATTTTGACCGACTGAAGTAAAGGAAATTCCTGAACTCGGGTCACCTAAAGACCATTCTTCTTTTAGTCTTTGACTCCCAGTGTAGGCCTAATGGGGGTGCTTTTGGTCCACCCAAAACCATGGCGTCTCTCGACTTCCCTTCACCGCGGTCGGCTTCAGTCGGTCCACTGTGGGCCCCACTGGGCGCAGTAAAAAATCGGCGAACAGCGCTGGGTCTGAAAGCACTGGTCACGGGGTACTCCCTTCACCCCTTGGGTTCGGGGTACCAAGCAGGGAGCGATAATTTGTTTGGGGGGTCGGGCTTGGGTAGGTGGCGAAGTCCATATATGTTGTGATCGGAGAGAAGTTCAGAAAGTTCACGACTTTGTAGTCGGTAGTCATGATACTTTGGATGTGCATTTGTCTCGTTCGCCTTTCGTATTGCACTCCCTTTCCTTTACACATCTTTACACCGATCTGGGCTTCCAATCTGGAACCTCCACAGGTAGCAACCTCTTTCTCCTCTTCTTCTTCTGCTGCCAAGTCATCTTCTCTGAATCTGCCAATTGCCCTGGCCACATCAGAGTTGTACCATTCAAACACGCCAAAGGTCATGGAACTACCATACTCTCAAAAACTATCAAAGTAGACATGAACACCGAACACCTTCTAGAATGCAGTTGTTCGGCATTGCCTTTTAGGAATCGTTCAAACATTCCTGTTTTCTCCTTACCCCCGACTCAACACAGCCGCAGCTGCGCAGGGCTAGATAAAGCGGAACACCAAATCATGTCTCAAACATGGCCAAATGATGCATGATTATATTATGATGATACTGTGATCATGGATTCAAACAGATCTATGCAAATGTTACATATATTATCATATACACACAGTACACATGTATACATGTCATCATTACTAACTATATGATGTCATGGAACTACATGTTTTCATGTAAACTGATTCTGTGTTCGTGAATTGGCCCTCGGTTGTGTTGAACTATTACGTAACATTTACACGTCTTCAACCTCCACGCAACAAAAGAGAGGAACTGACCCTGACAACACATAAATATCATAGCAACCTTATAAAAAGGCCTGAGGGCTCAATATTCATGTCTTGGTGTCCAAGACCACGAAGGCTGCTCACACACTGTCTGTTTGGTGTTCCGAAGAAACGCATGCTCCGTCACCGGTTGATATCATGTTATTCTAGTGCTGTATGTCGATCCTAAATACACAGCCACTTGGTTCTTCCTGCATGTTCCTATGCTCGGATCTTGTCAACAATACCGCCAAAACAAAAAAACAGCTGCGTGTAGCCAATGCTTGTTGTTGCTTCCACCTACCAAGATATATACCCCAGCGACCATATATACTGTAAGTGAACAGTTCAACAGTAGAACTGCTTCGGCAGGACCTGTCAGGGTGGGGTCTTCCTCGGTTCATCTCGCTATGACTATAGGTGACACAAGAAGAAGACACAGTTTGGTTCTGATGTGCAACCGGTCCTTCGTTGGGTTACCAGGGCCCTTTTTGGATGATGGTTGGCTGCTTGCAGGGCCTTTTGTCCATCCCAACAAAGAGGGATCCTCTTTGACCGACGGGCCGCCGACGGCTGATAATGGGACTCACCATGACTCACCCTAAATAGTCATTAGCAAAAAAACAGGAAATGCTTCGAGACCTCCGGAACATCTGAAGAAACCTTCGACATGGAAGGTCCTGGTATGTTTTGATGAACTTCTCCAGACCGAAAACAAATAATGTTTGATGAACTTGGCAGGTATGTTGTGATGGTCTTGATTAATGACCCACCCATCTGAATTGGACAACAAGTCTACTTTTGGCTATGCCATGCTGTGTCAAATCGCAAGACTAAAGAACAGGCGTTGCCCCAGTTACAGTTGCTGCATCCTTGTCAGCTGCAGCCTCACGCAGCAACTACACAACTTTCAAGTGGCCATTCTCGGTGGCAATAAGCAATCCTGTTTTCCCTTCTGCCGTTGCTGCATCTTTGTCAGCTCCAGCCTCAAGCAACAATCGCACAAGTTCCAAGTGACCCTCCTGGGCGGCAATAGCCAAAGCGGTTGCCCCATCTTTGCTTGTTGTATCTTTGTCAGCTCCAGCCGCAAGCAAGAATCGTACAACTTCCAAGTGGCCGTTCTGGGCGGCAATATGCAAAGCCGTTGCACCATCTGTCCTTGCTGTATCTTTGTCGGCTCCAGCCTCAAGCAACAATCGCACAAGTTCCAAGTGGCCCTCCTGGGCAGAATTAAACAAAGCGGTGGTCCCATCTGTCGTTGCTGCATCCTTGTCAGCTCCAGCCTCAAGCAACAATTGCACAACTTCCAGATGACCGCAGCCTGCTGCCACACTTAAAGCTGCTGCCAGGTTTGCCGTTGCATCATCTTTTTCAGCCCCAGCCTCGAGCAACAATCGGGCAACTTCCAAGTGGCCGTTCTGGGCGGCAATACACAAAGTCGTTGCCCCATCTGTCATTGCTGCATCTTTGTCAGCTCCAGCCTCAAGCAACAAGCCTGCAACTTCCAAGTGGCCGTTCTCAGCTGCAATGAACAAAGCCGTTGCCCCATCTCTCATTGCTGCATCTTTGTCAGCTCCAGCCTCGAGCAACAACCGCACAACTTCCAAGTGGCCTCCGTGAGCCGCGAAATGAATGGGCGTAGCATTGTAATTGAAAGTACTACGTCTGTTACGTCTGACACCATCTCTCCAGTTGGGATCGCACGGTTTCTGAAGCAAGCTTTCAACTTCCCCCACATTATTCTCCAGACAGTGGCGAACTAGCTCATCCCACATAGTCTCATGTGGAGCACAAAAGTCCAGGATTACCAGCTGAACACTTGAAACTGGTAGTAGCGGCATGCTGTCATGCAATTCGCCGCCGTCACTTAAGAGTCTTTGTCGAAATCTTGAGACTTCGACCTTAGCTGAAAGGAGCTGCTTCAGGTGCAGAACGGACTTTCCGCTTTCAACCATGTCAAGCAACTCATCCTCATCCACCTGAGCAACTGTTCTGCCAGACACGGCCCTAATCTGCATCAGACAGAGGCTCACGCTCAAATGAGGTGCCTAGAACAAGGATATTGACTATGACATACTATGACTATGACTGTCTGGAAGATCAGCTCGGCACAGGAGTATATATCGTGCTTTGGAAGAGCATTGAATAGCTATGTATCTGGTGAGTGTCCCCATGGTCTAGCATAGACAACAGTAAGACTCGCCTTCCCTCATCTGAGCCATGCTCACAGTCACAATGAAGTTTTGAGTGCCTTTCCTCTGCGTAGGGTGCTTTTTCCAAGACTCTTCCACTGACTTCCGTTCACCACAAAACAAAAGAAAAGCGGCACCACTGACTTCGTGTCTCGGCACCATGGGCTTGTTGGGTATCTTTAATGCGTTTAATGGCAATCAGGTATGCCACAGTATACCAATCACCCACACCAAATTTTGAGTCAACATGAGTCAAGAAAAACACCTTTGGATGTGCTGGTATAGCTTCATGAACTCTGGCGTCTTACCAGCACATCTCTTGACGTGTGATTCTGGCAACCCGGGCCCCCCGTAATGGTGAAAACTTGCGAAAGCGTCCGCAGCAAACAGGGCAGCAGCACTGGCAACTTCCAAGATCCGGCGTGTGGCCATGGCCAATTTTCGATCCTGAAACTGCTTGTGCTGGACTTGGGTGACGCTGCTACATCTTCCAACTTGGCCAAGGATAATATGATTCGGATGGGTCTGACGGATCGACCGATGCTCAGGGGGGAGCAGCAAACCAGCAGCAAACACTGCATCTGTGCGCCAGCGCCAAGTGGATGCATTGTTTGCAGGTGGGTACGAAAAGCACCCCTACGTCTCATGGAAATCTCCACATGTTTTGTTCAGGTACATCGCTCAGAACATGTAGCGCCCAAACACCATGTTCGCTCACGATCTCCGGTCGGGTAGGTCCACCAATGTATCCTGCATTCGTTTCATCTCCTGGTTCACTGGCTTCTCGGATCGATATTACAGTAGCTAGATGTCGATGTTGCCTCCCAACAGCGGTTTTCCGTGTTCGCGTCCTGTAGGATCCGACAGAGGTTAAGTGACCGGAAATAGGAACTTACTGGGTTACCTATCGGATAGTCTATAGGGTCCTTCAACCTCTGATGGATGGTCTAAATGCCATGAACATTCAAACCCATTCCTCACCCAGCGAGTCAACCGATGCCTTGAAGCATTCGAGTTCGGGCCGGCCAAACGGTGCCACGACCGCTGGCATGACCTGGGAGCGGTCGCCACAGAGGTTTCCGCACCTATCAGCTCCACAGCTTGTAGACTCATCCAGCGGAGAATGAACAGCCCCTACCAGCCCCTACTGTACTGAACAGCCCAGCCTTTTGGTTGGTAAACATTGAATTGATTGTAACAAAGTGCAATAAACGGATGTGTATAATATATATCGAGAGAGTGAGTCTGAAAACAATAATGTCTGTACCCGAATCATCCCTGGGTCGGACTGAGTGGATAAGTTGCAAATGTCAAACGCCCATGAGCCACCGATGTATCTCTTCGAGAACCATCAATGGTCTGGAATACGGAGTCTCACTTGGACGTTGTCTTCTACCCAAGGTGTACCACCAACGACCTATGTTTTTTTGCACCTTTGTGCATCAACCTCCATCCCCAAACGTTAAACAATACTTCTAGAATTAGAACCCTCAAATCCAAACACCCTCTGAGACCCAAACAGCTGCTTTTTGCGGAATGATCGGGAACACCATACACAGAATCCAGTGATTGTCCTCAAACCGAGGTCGTTTCGACCAGATCGCTTGGTCCGGTCTGGTCCGGTCTGGGTTCGAAGGCAAAGTCTCTCCGGGCGCGCCAGCGCCACGCCTGGTGAGAATGTTGCAGTGAAGGGGGTGGGGGTGACAGGACTCCGAAAGCAGAGTGACAGGTTTGGAACAGTGATGGTGTTGCGACAGTTTTCCCCACAAGTTGATGTAGTTGTGCAGTAGGAATCCCCCATGTTAACAATGATATATATATAGTTTTATGTGCTTTGAACACTGATATCGAGAAACTTAGACCAACACCAAGTGGATGAAACCGTGCCGATTAGTGTTCTGCAAGAACCTCCAAAGGATGCCGAAATGGGGCCCTTGCAAACATGAGCCTCTCACTCAGTATCTCCTACAAACTTTATACTCATCAAATTCCAACAATAATGTTAAACAATGTCAAACAACAAGCAAACAAACACAAGTTGTATCCAATTTCACCATGGGATGCAGAAACACTTGCCAACAATGCTGGCAGGTGGAAATTAAACAATATGCTTCAACAAATAGGGTATGGGTCAAAGGCTTACTACCAGAGCTCCTTTTGGATGTGTTTGCTAAGCATGATTTGTTCTACCCCCGAGGCTTGAGACACTACTGTAAATACTAAAAAGTATTACTATGTATACTGTATATTGCATGCATCTTACGTTCCTGTCACGCTAAGCGTGGGAAATGGAGTGGCAGCTATTCAAATCTTTTCAGACGACAACCGTGCTGCACAAGGGTCGTCACTGCACAAATTCGGCGTCCGCCCCCATGTTGCATGATCGTTACAGTGACTTGTGTCGATGTTCCAATAGGCGTAAGTTAAAATTAAGAACCTATGCATTCCAGGGCGTATCTCAGGAATGCTCGGATGTAAGGTGAAACCATGTGACACATGTTTTCCCACTGTTGTTTCAACAGTTTCACCAAAATTGTCCTTGGAGCAGGAAATTCTCCAACCTATTCCTGGGCGTCTCAGGAATACCTGGACTTAAAGTGAAACATACTTGCCCACAGTTGCTCCAACAGCATCACCAATGTCGCCCTTGAGACTCCTGAATTCTATCGAAATGCGGCAAGCGCTTAGGTCTTTCTGGTCGCAAACCAATGACGTGAAGCCAAACCTCAGCAAGTACACACGCAGATTAGCTATTTTGTGGTTCAGCCTTTGGGAGCTGCAGCTGGTGGTGGTGGCAGCGGTGGTGGTTGTAGTAGTAGTAGTAGTAGTTGTTGTTGTTGTTGTTGTTGTATCAGTAATAGTGTAGTACCATTACTGGCTTCCTTGGTGCTACGTAATGGTAGTGGCAGTGGTAGTGGAAGTGTTGGAAGTGGTAGTAGTAGCAATCGTGTTACGTGTTAATGAGGAAAGCATGCAGCAAAACTTATAAGTGTCTCCGGCCATAGTTTACTAAGACTGCGGAGCAGATTGGTGGACAGGGTTCCAAAGAGCAGGTTCTGTTCCTTCCAGAGCCGGTTCCCGACCAGTTCTAGTCCAGAGCAGGTTGGGGAGTATGCAGGTTCCGGTTCAGGATTGTTGTTTCAGAGCCTGGAAAAAAGAACTTCTGAGTTAAAGTGAAGATAGCCCTGACGTGCTTTCGAGACCGGTAATCAGAGTTTGTGAATTGAAGTGCGTGGTGTTGCACACTCACCCTGTGCACAAGTGTCAAAACATGACCTGAAGCTGAATAATGTTTTGAAGTTTTCTTGGCCAAACTCTCTCCCTACTGCAAGTCAAAGCTGCCAAAGCTATCTCCCTACTGCTGTGTGTGTTTTTGCTCACAGTGCGGCAATCAAATTGCGCAGGCTAAGCTGCTCAAGGCTAGCAGGATCTTGGCAGCGCCCATCATGAAAGAAAACGCAGCACGGCGCTTTTCTGGTGGTGTTTTTTGTTGGGCTCAAGTAACCTGCTTCGAGACCTGTATGTGGAACAAATTGCATGCCAGTCGTGCAGGAGGCTCTGACTAGGAAATGACACACCAATTGCAGCAAGAGCAAGATCGCCAGATGGCCAGCTAAAAAAGAACTTAGACCAGCCCCTGGTCACCCATGACCTATGCCAATGCTCTTGTGGCATTAGATCACCCAAATGTCTCCGACGATCAGACCCAAATCTGCCCCAGCCAGGACCAAACAAAACATCTCACCAGAATCCATAGCTACTATATAGTAGCTAAGGGCATAGCTACTAGTAACAAGAGCATCGCTACTAGTAACAAGGGCATTACTACAAGTAGCCAACGAAGCTGCGAACGTCACTTCTGGGCATATGAACCGGTCCCACATCCGCCTCCGCTCGGGGTCGGTGGAAGGCCGGTGGCTGCTTCGCGTACGCGGCGTAGCAGGCGTTCCTCGAGTTGCGGAACGGTCCGTAGCCGGTGCCCACGACGGGCGTGGCAGAGACCAACGACGGCATGGACGAAAACGATTCCTGTATTCTACCGGCACCAGTGTGTCACGGATTGTTGTTTTGTGTGGAAAAGACCAATCGTGTGCGAATAGGGAGCTTCCCCATGGGTTGTGTCACTGGGATCAATGATCTCAAGTAAAGGTTGAAAATACAAAAACAATCGAAACAGCCACTCAGGAGTGTATTTAAATGTAGTTCAAACAGGAAAACACAAAATCTACGGGTTCGGTTCGTGAATTTTCCAGTAGGTCTCCCTTTCTGAATACACGCCCAAATGAGTTTGGGTTGCCGAAGTCCAGTTGACGATGATACACACGTTCCCCCCTTTCCGAACTAGTTCTGATTTTGTTCTGAATCCAACCCAGCGTACAGTTTCATCATGATTTAGATCAATTTCTGTGGACCATGCCAGGCACTGTTGCTGGTGAAACGCCTCGGCCCTCAGGGATGTGGGTCGGCCCTCTTGTGAGGTCTCCGACCCACTGGAACTCATGGCCTGCAGAATGAAGTAGGACTTGGTAGCAGCACTTCGCACTAGCCACGTTGCAATGAACAAAAAGACTCGGTAGCGACATGGGCGAAACACAACATACGTTAATAAGGTAAACTAGTTCAACAAATAACACTATATGTATATATATATAGATACAAAATCAATGTCTCGTACAAACATGCAATCCTAGAGACACAAAAAAAGGGATCTCTTATCATATCTGCATGTTGACCAATCGAGAGACACCTAGACCTACGAGTAGTTATCCAAATCATCTCTTTCGAACACAAACAATCAACACAAAGAAAAACATACAAGTTATCCTCCTGTTGCCTCACACTTAAAACCTCACTTCCACCCAGGTGCAACAAAAACGACAAAAAGCCAAGCGTCTCGTGCTCTTTCACCCACTGTGGCACATCAGAAGCGTGTTCATGCTCCGGTGCTTGAGCCTCAGTTAAAACATGCACGAAACGGTGCGGAAGACTGCGCGTCGCGGACGGAAGACGGACGGAGACGGAGATGGACAGCACATGAGGTGCGAGATGGACAGCACTCATTGGACTCTTTCACTGGGACACTGATCAGGAGAATGGTCTAAAAGCCTCAGGGTGAAACTAATTCAACAAAAAAAAGAGTCCGGCGTGCATTTAACCATGTGACTTTCGGTCATTGAATTTGAAGGTCTTATAACATGGAAACACGGAGGAGCTTGCATGTTAGTTGGATATGGTTCGTCATGACCTACCCCAAAAGCAACACAAAGGGCGCTATATACTTCTGCAAAAGGAATTGTTCTGCTTCTGGCAAGCTGGCATTCATTGCAGTGCAGAACTCTCAAAGGGCATGGACGAGTTTGCCACTCCAAAGAATCAGAATTCTTGCTGTTGATAATGCATCCGGCAAACACCCAAAACGGTTTCGATGCGTGACAATGCCAACACATGCCAAAAAAACAAGTGTGCACGCACAGCAACCAACTTCACTAACGGTTGCTTCATGTCACACTCAAGACTGTGGCCTGGTCAAGCCTGCCAAGTCAGATGGTTGATCCTG